GAAAATGATTTGATGAGGTCGTGGTATCCTCCTGTTTGTTCCCATTCAAATTTAAAAAAAAAACACCCTTAAAAGTGGAGAATTAATACACACTCACACTCGACTTTTTGCATTGAAAGTGTGTTTTCTGGACACACTGCCAGACATAATCTAGGTCATTAAATAAATACCTATAACGTGTAATAAACTAGCAATTCCTTTTATAGTCACGATAGAAATAATCGTTCCGTGTAGTAAAAGTTTATAAATAACACTTATAATGCTCAATTCTTTATTTAGTAGGTTATAATTCAATAAAGACACTTCCGACACTATGTAGGAAATGCCCTCGAAAGGGCCAATGTATTTATAACTTTGAGCTGTATACATAACTTAAAACAGCTATCGATAATTTCTAATGTATTCAGTAATATTCAGCTAATTGAACCAGATACTACGTTATGACATTGGGTGACTCACTGGTTCAATAAAGGATTTGTTCTATACGTGAATAATTTTATTAAGATACGTTAGGGTTAAATAAGGTTGTTCGATACCAAGTAATTGGAGAATTGAATAAATCTATATCTCTATAAAAGAAGAAATAGACAGAATGATTCACTGAATGATCGATCAACGCAAATGTTAAACGACTGGGTCTAAAAGTATGAAATTTTGCACAAATGTTCTTCAAGTGACGTAGGTGTCCACTTCTCCTTCTTCGTCGTATCAACGGGTGAACACCCCTAAATTTTGTCGGCCCTAAATTCCGCCATAGCCACGGAATTGTCCGTTGCTCTCCACAGCTCCTTTACACTGTGTGCACTAAGAAAGGATCTTTAAAAATTCCACCCTAAGGTGCAAAATGGGACTTGGAAATTTATATGAAACTTCGTTATTTTTGGTAGTACCGTTTTCAAACTCATAAAAGGTAAAGATTGGGAGTTTGTAAGTTCGGGTTAGTCTCAGGGACTACTGGTTCGATTTTAAAATACTTTTAGTGTTGGATAGCCCTTTTATCGAGAAAGTATTTAAGATATGTCTACATTTTAGATTGTGGGGTGGGGACCCGGTGATCTGTAGCACAGGTTTTTAACTTAAATCAGACACCGACTCCTCACAAAAATGTATGTATGAAGGAAACTATATCTTTATGTAAATTTGAAGATTGTTAATGAAACGATCGCCAACCCGCCTGCCCAGCGTGGCGATTATGGGCAAACCCCTCCCATGCAGACGCAACAAAGGCCACGGCCCCCAGTTCCCGGCGGCCCCGCTATTCCTGGTCATGGTGGCCACCACGGTAAAGGCGGGGCAGGGGGTGCGAAGAATCTCCGGGCTACGGGAGGCCACCACAACCGACTGACCCTGGCTACGTACAACGGACGCACGCTACGGCTAGACTCGCATCTGGCGCAACTTGAGGTGGAACTTGGGAAGATTAGGTGGCATATCCTAGGGCTATGTGAAGTCCGAAGAGAGGGGGAGGACACCATAACCCTCGAGTCAGGCCACCTAATGTACTTCCGCGAGGGAGACCAACAATCCCAAGGTGGGGTTGGGTTTCTGGTAAATAAGTCCCTATCTGACAACGTTGTGGAAATTTCCAGTGTGTCGAACAGGGTAGCGTACCTCATTATCAAGCTCACCGAGAGGTATAGCCTCAAGGTTGTGCAAGTGTACGCACCGACCTCGGCACATTCGGACGACGAGGTGGAGGATATGTACGATGACATATCGAGGGCCCCCCACTTCACAACTAAGACCCACTACAACGTTGTTATGGGTGACTTCAACGCTAAAGTGGGAGTACAGAATTGCGGCGAATCGGTAGTAGGATCCCATGGATTTGGAAGCAGGAATCATAGGGGGCAAATGCTGGTCAACTTCCTCGAACGGGAGGGGCTGTTTTTGATGAATTCTTTCTTCAAGAAACAGCCCCAAAGGAAGTGGACGTGGCAAAGCCCCGACGCTATGACCAGAAATGAGATCGATTTCATCATGACGGATAGAAAGCACATATTCAGAGACGTCTCAGTGATCAATAGGTTTAATACCGGTAGTGATCACCGACTTGTCCGGGGCTCTCTGAATATCAACTTTAAGGCGGAACGTGTCTGTTTGATGAAATCCAGGCTCCGACCAACTCGGCTCCAAGCCATGACAGGATCTGAAACGTTCCAGTCAAAACTGGAAAACCGATTCGCTGCCGTGGAAACCACAATCGACGTAAACCAGAACCTCAAAAATGTGGTTCAGATCCTCAGGGAAGAAGGTATGAGATTTTGTGAAATGCAGCGTAAGGGCAGGAAGTCGAAGCTTTCAGAAAGGACCCTAGGGCTGATGAAGAAACGACGTGAAAACCCACCTGTCACTTTGTCGGCAAAGCGGACTCTAAACCGAGAGATCAGTAAACTCGTACGACACGACCTCCGGTGCTCCAATACTCTTTCAATTGAAAGAGCGATCGAGCAAAATCGGGGGTCAAAAGTGTTCGTACAATCTCTTGGAAGAAGCCACCTGACAAAGTTGACTACAGAAAGTGGAGAAGTCGTTGCTTCGAAGCCGGCAGTCCTTTTGGAAGTGGAAAGCTTCTATGGCCGGTTATACGCTTCGCATGCATCTCGACCTGATCCCGAAAATGAGGACTCTAGAGCCACATTAACACGTCACTACACCGAAGACCTGCCAGAAGTTAGCATTGACGAAATCGAGATGGCTCTTGGACAGCTGAAAAATGGAAAAGCCCCTGGAGAGGATGGCGTTACAACAGAGCTGCTGAAGGCCGGGGGTAAACCCGTACTAAGGGAGCTCCAAAAGCTCTTCAACGCTGTCCTGTTTGAAGGGAGAACTCCAGAAGCGTGGAGTAGGAGTGTGGTCGTCTTGTTCTTCAAAAAAGGGTGACAAGACCAGGTTGAAGAACTATCGACCCATATCCCTTCTAAGCCACGTCTACAAGCTGTTTTCGAGAGTCATCACGAACCGTCTTGCGCGAAGACTCGACGAATTCCAACCACCGGAGCAAGCTGGGTTTCGGAGCGGATATGGCACCATAGACCACATCCACACAGTGCGGCAGATTATACAGAAGACCGAAGAATATAATCAGCCCCTGTGTCTAGCATTCGTGGACTATGAGAAAGCCTTTGACTCGATCGAGATCTGGTCTGTTCTGGAGTCCCTGCAGCGTTGCCAAGTAGATTGGCGATACATCAAAGTGATGAGATGTCTCTACGAAGCCGCCACCATGTCCGTCCAAGTACAGAATCAGCAAACAAGGCCCGTACCATTGCATCGAGGAGTGAGACAAGGGGACGTTATTTCCCCGAAATTGTTCACAAATGCAATGGAGGACATGTTCAAGACGCTGCACTGGAAAGGGCGTGGCATCAATATCAATGGCGAATACATCTCTCACTTGCGATTTGCAGATGACATCGTCATCATGGCAGAGACGTTGCAGGACCTACAGCAAATGCTGAATGACTTAGCTGACACTTCTGTACGCATCGGCCTACGGATGAACTTGGATAAAACCAAGGTCATGTTCAACGAACATGTACTACCGGAACCGATTGCGGTACACGGTGCCGTTCTCGAAGTTGTTCAAAATTATGTGTACCTCGGGCAGACATTGCAGTAAGGTAGAAACAACTTCGAGGACGAGGTGAACAGAAGAATTCGGTTGGGTTGGGCAGCGTTTGGGAAGCTACGTCGAGTCTTCTCATCGTCGATCCCACAGTGCCTTAAGACGAAAGTCTTTAATGAGTGCGTCCTACCCGTCATGACATACGGAGCTGAAACGTGGACACTTACGGTACGGCTGGTCCACAAGTTCAAAGTCGCTCAACGTGCTATGGAAAGGGCTATGCTCGGCGTTTCTCTAAGGGATCGCATCAGAAATGAGGTGATCCGGCAGAGAACTAAGGTCACCGACATAGCGTACCGGATCAGCAAGTTGAAGTGGCAGTGGGCTGGCCATATTAGCCGCAGAACCGATAACCGTTGGGGAAAACGAGTTCTTGAGTGGAGACCGCGTCTCGGCAAACGTAGTGTAGGACGCCCACAGGCCAGGTGGAGTGACGATTTGCGCAAGATGGCTGGCAGGAGCTGGATGCGAGAAGCCCAAAATCGATCTAAGTGGCGTGCAATGGGAGAGGCCTATGTCCAGCAGTGGACTGCGGTAGGCTGATGATGAATGAAATGCTGTACATTTTATGAGGAGATATAAATATATATATTATAAATAACATTATACGACCAATAGGAGCCCGGTACCGATGAAAAATATTGCGAAAACTTGAAAAAATTATTAATTTTGAGGGAAGCTGAAGAAGTTCGGCGAGCCAGCTAGGTACTCATGTATTAGGACGTGGGAGAGTTATGCTTCGGTACAAAGGAGTGAGATTGAGATTACCCGGGAGTCAAAACTCCCCTCCCTCTGTTTGGAGGGATCTCAAAGGCGCAATGCGACAGTTTTTTTTGTTATATTATAAGCTAGCTTAGTCCATTCATACGTACTAAACTACTATAGAGAGAAATTTCGTACGTGACTTACTTAGGTACTTTTGTAGTGTTAATGAGAATTAATAACTAAAAAAGCAAACATAAACTATAATAAAAAAAAACAAAAAAAAACACGCTTTTGTAACTAATAATTTATATTTTAGCTTTTGATAAAAGAAAAATAAAATTTGAATACTTACGAGTATGTAAAGACACTCGTAAGTATTCAATTTTTTAATTTTCAGTACTAACAGTGATTATAATTCAAACCTAGTATCTTTGTACAGTACCTTTGTACAGTTATATATACACTGTACCTTTGTACCGTATCTTTGTACAGTACAGTACAAGCAATGTAGCCCAAGTGAACAGACATCAAATGAGTTTAAACTATCTTAAATGTCTGCAAATATATTGTCTCTGTCTGCCTTATCTTTCCTTTAAGTACAGAAACTTTGAATACGCCCGTAATGTATGTATTTTTCAATAAATTTTCAATAAATGCATTTGGTTCGCTACGTTGGACTGTCGATTATGCTAGATTTTGTCGTTATCCTGTCAGCTGGTAGGAATAAACAAACGATGACGCCACCTGTAAATAAAAAGAATATAATCTAAAGTTTTAGCTCAAATATCACTGACCACAGTCACTTGCTCACTGCAAAGTCATTAACACACATATATATATATATATATGTACATATATATACATATATACAAACATGACTGACTTCAATGCGTTAACTTTATGATGAATTGTAATAAACGGCAATTTTCATTCCTTTAATTTTCTACCTTTAGGCCTAGCATTTTTATTAGTGTCCGTGTAGTGACAGATTAAGAATACGGAATGTTACTTCCTAAATTCATTCAATTTGGGTGTAATAAGAACCAACTAAGAAAGAAAACTACGCAGGACAACAGCACTGCAAAGAGAAGGAAAACTAGACACAAGCCCGTTTGGCCAGCGTGGTATAGTAGGCCAAAATCTCCTTTCTAAGGAGAGGCCTATGTCCAGCAGTGGACTATTAAAGGCTGTTGATGGTGCTGACTTTCTTTTAACATTTTAATGGGACCAAACGTGAAGTATATTCTTCCAAAATAAAAAGAAGAAATTTCTAACTCGGTTTTGTGATGTCGCAATTCTGAGATAAAATCTTAAAAAAATACGAAAGAACCTTCTTATTTTTTGTAGTCTGTTAAAATAATGAAAAATTATGCATTTAATTATATCGAGTAATTGATTTCTTTGGACAGTAGAGTTACTAGGTAACGATGTGTAAAAGTATTATTGGGAATGAGTTTGAATAATTAAATCTAAAATCGATTTTTTCTGCTTTAACTTTAAGAGTTAAAGGCTAGATTTACGACTAAAAAACATGTTTAAGGGTAACATTTTAGACTTAGACTAGATGAAGAGACGGATTAAGAATGCGGAGTCACCACCCTTTTTATCCCGTGGATGTTGTAAGAACCGATTAAGGGAGCAAACTACGCAGAACAATAACACTGTAAAGAAGAGGAAAACTTGAAACAAACCCTATACTAACCCACAACGGGCCAGCATGGTATAATAGGCCAAAACCCTCTTTCTAAGGTGAGGCCTATGTCCAGCAGTGGAGCAGCTATTAAAGGATGTTGATATGATGATGTTATCAAAAGTTTTTAAAAAGTCTTACCAAACACAAATGCAGACCATGTATAGAAAGTAGCTTCACAGTGTTGAGTGATAGCAGCCCCTACGAGACTCACTGCGGTGAGAGAGCAGAGACGAGCCACCATCATGCCTAGACTGGTTACCAGTCCTCTGATGATTATAATAATGTAACATACAATATAAAATAGATATCAAGTGAATTAATAAAGTTATATATATATAATAAAAAAAAACGGTCAGGTATGAGTCGAACTCCGCCGAGGGTTCCGTACCTACCCAGATTTTACGTAGATTTTCGAGAACATTTGTAAGTACCAAAATTTATCTTAATATTCAACTTTTTTGTTTTTTGGAATTATTTGTGCTGTAAGACGTTTCTTTTTGCCAAATTTCGTGATTCTAGGTCAACGGAAACTACCAAATAGGATTTCGACCCAAGACCTATAGGGTACTTCCGGTTGACCTAGAATTGTCAATTTTGATTAAAAGCAAGGTCTTACAGCACAAGTAAAGAGAAAATTCTGAAAAATAAAAAAAAGTTGAAAATTATGGTAAATTTAAGTACGAGTACTTACAAGTTTTCCCGAAAATCGAAATTTGCCCATATCTTTTTATCGTGTTGACTCAGGACCTTGATTTTTATACACCTAATAGGGGCCATAGACCTTAGTGTCTGGTATAAATTTCAATTTGCTAGGTCTACCGGTTCCTGAGAAAATCGGTGGTGACACACGGACAGACGGACAAGAAAGTGATCTTATAAGGGTTAATTTTTTATCTTTTAAGGTACGGAACCCTAAAAAGGACTCTTAAAAAAACTGCCATATTGTTTTTTTTCGAGTTAAAACGTCACTCGGGATGGAACAGTTATTTAGGATTATATAATTTATGATACAATAAAAAAAAACTGAATAAAAACTACTGGACTATAACCTAAGAGCAAAATTATGTACAAAATTTTATAATAGTTTCTTTTTTAGTCACAAGTGTTACGAATGAAATGATACGTGAGCAAATAGTTTAGCGTATCTCAGAAGAAGACATAATTACTTAAATTTCAATTTATTAGTAGGCAAAATTTATGTTGAAACCTAGAGGTTTATTAATACTTATATAATAACGCGGAAGTAGTAGCAAAAAAGATGTATGTATGATAGTTGAAAATAAGAGTAGAGGCTAAACAAACACAAGATAGATTTACTGCTTAAAAAAACATGAGAGATTGAGGATAAAGGGTCCCAAATAAATTTGAGAAAGATGATGATTATAATAAAGCTGAAGTAATAAGTGGTTTAAGCGCCGCTTCCTATTACGTCGAGTGTTGTGGGTTCAAACCCCACATGGGACAACACTTTGTGTGATCCACAAATTGTTGTTCTGAGTCTGTTTGTACTTTGTGTCCGTTTCATGTATGTTTGTAAAGTCCCCCGCGACACAGGATTTATTCCTAGTGCGGGAGTTGTCTTTAAAAAAAAAAAAAAAAAAAAAAAAAAAAAAAAAAAAAAAAAAAAAAATTTGAAATACTACCTAAAATATTATTACTTACGTACCTATGTAAGGCAGGATACAAGTTCACAAAATAGGATGATATGCAACCAACTCCTAATGAAGTGGCTTGAAGCAGCGTAAAAAATATCATATTGGCGATAGGATTCTTCACGTTCACCAGGAGTTCACTAACTCCAGATACGAGGAGTACCGCTATTAGTAGCATACGAGGGCGGGAAGATACTTTGACGACGGCTATGCTCATGAGCCAGTAGAAGACACCATAAACCATACCGGCGTATATTGTGTTTGTAGATATTTCGTCGTTGCATTCGAGCTGCAAAAGAATATACAAATAATTAATGCATAAAATTCCGTGTGGTAGTGGATGGACAATACGAAGTGTCACCACTCCTATTTATTCCATAGGTATCGTAAGAGCCGACTAAGGGAGCAAACTACGCATGACAACAGAACTGCAAAGAGAAGGTAACCTTAAAACAGCATATACCAACCCGTTTGGCCAGCGTGGTATAGTAGGCCAAAACCTAGGGAACTAGGGAAAGACCTGTGTCAAGTAGTAGACTACTAAAGGCTGTTGATGATTGATGATGATGATTCCTCATAAGCATTTTCACATTTTATGAATTTTCTCCAATATGACATGTGGAAAGTCATCGTTGGTGAGTTTGCAGTGTAGTGCTTTTTTTTTGCTTCACTGTGATCATTAACTTGTGAACAGACAATTGGCTTTTATTAAGACTCTCAATTGGCTTTCAGAAACATTCAGGAATACTTGTGGAAAATTTCTGTTACTGTAGATTTCCTCACGTGTATCAAACAAGTGATCACTAATCTTTAAAAAGCGTTCACCGTATGACCTTTTCATTTAAAAAATATCAGACAATTCGCTAGATATTGTGTGTGTGCGCTAGGTAACTGTCGGCAATTTAGCTCAAGCAATTTATTTCTTGAGTTCATAAAAAAGTTATTTTTACGGTTTGGTGCTCATTAAGTAAAGGTCATATTTATTTATTTGTTTGTTGATTTGGTATACTTAGAGCATACATACCCTACATTCTTATATTGACGATCGGATGGTGTAGTGGTTTGTGTAACGGACTGCTATTCCAAAGGTCGCGGGTTCGATTCCCGCTCAAGTCAAACATTTGTGTGCATGAACATTTAATGTTTGATTTGGTCTGGGTGTTTCTATGTATAATATGTATGTATTTACAAAAAAAAGTATATGTGTATTTATATCAGTTGTCTAGTACCCATAGTACAAGCTCTGCTTAGTTTGGGACTAGATGGCGTTGTGTGAATGTGGTAGAATATTATTATTATTCTCTTTATTTCATTAAATATACATTATAAATTACATTTTTAAATATATTTATATACAAAAATATTATTATTATATTATAACAATTGCAAATAATGTTTAATTTCTGGTACGCACGCTTATTACCGGTACACACAATATTTAAACAACATAAGGAATTACTATGCTAGATCATTAGTTGTTGAATCCTAATAAGATGTTAGTAGATGATAAGAGGATATTAGTATTAAATAAGATCTTGGATCTATGTTGGATAGATGTTATTTTACTTATACGAGAGTATGCCTTAGAGTCATTTATGCATTTTTTAAATATAATGGATAAAAAAAGTAAATTCATACCGTTTGAGTATTATTTAATTGGCTACTGCTATCTCCAAATAATCTCTGACAAAAACTTTGCTCGGAGCTATCTGATGTATTAAAAGATTTGAAGAAGTAATTTACTATTGTTGGATACCACATTGTGAATGCGTTGTTTCTGAAATAAAATAAAAAAATATAGTAAATAATCAGCGACAGTTGCATAAATCTGGACTAGGAATTTGTTTAAGGTGGTACCTACGGGACAGCCCAACCGTCACTTTATGATAACTATGAATAATCATCAACAGCCTTTAACAGTCCACTGCTGGAGAAAGGTCTCTCCTTAGAAAGAAGGTTTTGGCCTACTATACCACGCTGGCCAGATGGGTCGGTATAGGTTTTGTTTTTTCGTTTGTGTTGTGTTGTTTCCTTCTCTTTTCAGTGCTGTTGTCCTGCGTAGTTTGCTCTCTTAGACGAATTTTACGACACCCACGGGATGAATAGGGGTAGTCACACTCCATATTCTCAATCGGTCACCACGCGGACACTTACAGACTATGACTAAAATATTTCCCAATTGCACATCAACAACAATCTTTCTTAAAATTTTAAAATTGGATTAGGAATAGATAAAAAATCTATGCCTATGTTTATTGTCTTTTAACAGGGGTTTGACATCGTGAGTTATAGGTAAGTATAGTTTGACAATGAATATAGTTCAAGCCACTATTTTAATTTTATCTGCAGGATGGAACCGGGGCCCAAGTGCGCATTCGGCGTGGCGATTGGTGAAGATTTCAGTGAAGGCTGACCATCTAATAGATGTGAAATAAACTCACACTACGCCCTCTGAAATGTGTGGGATTCCACAAGGTACAAAAATTGGTCTGTTATTATTCATTTATGTCAGGTATACAAAATGATACAGCTTATTAGTGGTATTGCGGTGAAGAAAGGTGCTCTGACTGTATTACTGCCTTATTTTATAAATATGTAATGGTTAATGCTCACGTTGTTCCTTTCAATTAAAACATTATTTAAAATAGATAATGAGGAATATAGTCTTACGTTACACAGCAAAGGGCCAACAGAAAATATAGTTGTATAGTCCTCCAAAGTAAAGGTGGCTTGAAAATTGGAACAGTCTGTTTTTTTAAAGTCTTCCAGAATGTTTGACTTTTCGAAGCAATTGCCAAACCTGTTTGGGTTATGTTTCTTACCTGTAATAAATGTTTACATAAATAACACATATGAGGATAGTTAGCCCCATTTAGATTTTAACTGCTAGGTAAAGGATATAAGAAATTAGTCCCTGGTTTTTTCTAGAAAATTTAGTTTACGGAAACAGTTTTATTTCTAAAATTAAGAGTGGACTACGTTTAATATGAAGATTTGGTAATGTTGAATAACTTTGGTCCTCAGTTTGGCCTCAATTCCGGAGGGTATGTATTTTTATTATTCGAATTTGTTAAGCGGTTACCCCATAGTAGTATAATACTAGTTTAGTAAACTTTTCTAGCTCAATGACGCCGATTCTTATGTCCTGTAGGTGATTGGGTGAATCTTTGTGAGTTGATCAGCCTGCTTCTATAAATCTATTCTGTAGTAGGTCAGCGTTATTGCTGTTTAAAGTTAGGCAGGCGTTCAAATAATCATATAAAACTCATTTGTATTGTTTTTTCTATCAATTTATGAAATAGAAGTTCCTTTTAGAGTTGTTATTTTAAGCCTTGAAAAAAAATGGCGTCAATCAATGATGAAAAATAATATCGGAGGCTTTTATTTATTTTATGATATCGTCGTTTTGACGGTAACATTATTGAATGGACGTCAGTCAGTTTTTTTTTTTTTTAATATTTTTTATACGTTAATGTAAGTGAAATTGGTTGGTGACCTCTGCCGCTCATGGACCTGCAATTATAGAACCACAAGTGCGCTAGTCTTTGGACGCTATTAACTGTTTCAAGACCATATCAGTATGAAATACTGCAGGCAAAAAATTTTTCAACAAAATTTCTTACTTTACTTAGACTTTCTTAAATTTATCACTTACCGGATAATCCTCCCTCTTCCCTCCATTCCTTTCATACATCATTGTCAACACCTCTGAAGCTTTTCCATTATCTCCCCTACTAGCCAAGAACTCTGGGCTCTCATAGATGTAAAATAGGAGAACCGCCCCTATACCCAGTGGAATTGCTAATGCTATGGTATAGAGTCTCCAGGGTCGGAAGGTCATGTTTAATAAAGGGACATTGACTTTGAAGTCCAGTGGCAGGATTAGCCAAGCTAAACCTGAAAAAATCGTCTGAATAAAAAAATAATAAATCTACCTTTATAAAAGGATCAATTTCTATTTATCTAATCCAATTTTCCCTAATCCTCATAATTAATAGGGATCACGATTTTATAAGCATCAAACCTCTTTATCTAAGCTTTTACAGGTAATTTATGTCATATATATTTCAGTTAACGACATGGGTAAAGAACCTTTAGCTATACAATAACGGTATCAAAAAAAAAATCTTTGCCTTTTACTATGTCATTTAAAATAATCGTGGTAAGTACTCACCGAAAGCAAAGACATCAGAACTAAGATTTAAGCTGTTCATAATGAATAAGTATTGGCTCCTATGTTTCTTTCCTGTGCACTCTCCTAGCAGCGCCATCGTCAGTGTGAAACTAGCTGTTGAGCTGTAACAGTAAACATGAATAATCCTGTCCCTTGAGCATTTGACAAACAGCTCTACTGAAGAATTATTATTGTAGGTACTGCGTAACTGATAGTTTTTGAAAAGAAATTCAAAATGCTAATGGAAGTTCACTTTTTCATTCACAAAACGACAAATTCGGCTTCTTAAACATTACAATTACGTCATTCAAAAATTCCCATCAGGATTAAGTCAATTCGGGCGTCCACAACTAGTTGCAATATCAATCGGTTTCGAGTAAATAATAAAATGCTTACAAGAAACACAGCCATGCAAAGATACAGTTTTACAATCGTTGCAAGTTCTTGTATCCGCTTTATTTCGCTCGTACAATTAAGTAAGTCTTTTGAATAACGGTATTATAAAATGTAGTTATGGGTCTACTCTTCCACCAGGCACCTAACAAAGTAATAGAGTACAATAGATCGAAACAGCTTACAGTAATGCTGAACTTAGTAAAAAGGAAATTGTGGCATTAAAATAGAATATTCTTCGTTGTACACCAATTACATAATGTTAGATAAACATCAAAGACGAATATGTACAATAGGCGGCCTTATCGCTGAAAGCAATCTCTTACAGTCAACCTTCGCTAATAGCTATTAGCTACACAGAGCAAAAAAGTATAATCTGTAATACGTACAAACTGCAGCAGATTATCTTCACAATGAACATAAACAGCCAGTGCGTGGAGAAAGCACTTATCACTGCAAAGATGAATCCCACAGAAGTAGACAATAACATAGCACGTTTTCGTCCTCGAGTGTCCGCATAATATCCCCATGGAAACGCAAAAAGTACACCTGGAATATTTATTTTTACTTGGAAATAAAATGCAATTTGCTTGTATTGTATTTTTTAGACATCTGGTTTAGGTTACTACAAGAATACCTGCAAAAGGTGCTGACGCCAGGAACCCTAGTTGTTTAAGCTCCACATTCAAGTCACAACTTGCCGCAGCAACTACCGTTGCGTAACCAAACATGTCCAGGGCACAAGCGTTGGTTATCAGGCTGCAGGTTGTGAGTAAGAGATAATTGTAGCGTCCATTGCCTGTAAGCGTTTAAAAATGTAGGTAATCTACAAAATTGGTGAAAATCAAAAACTCTGTATGAGAGAATGTTGTTATATTTGTAATAACATAAAGTGAGGATGTTACAACCAGGCCAGGTGTTGCTTAGGGTTGGGAAGATAACATAATCGGTTCACTCCACACGAGAATTTCAATGGCGCGCGATATAATAAATTTACAGTTACGATGACGTTCAGCAAGCTTCGCTAGAAAATGATGAAGTATATTTTAACTACGTAGGAAAAGAGCACTGCAGAGAGAAGGATATCTTGAAACAAACCGTAAACCAACCCGTCTGGCCAGCGTGGTATTGTAGGCCAAAACTTCCTTTCTAAGGAAAGGCCTATGTCCAGCCGTGGACTATTAGTCAAGTCAAACATTTGTGTGCATAAACATTTAATGTTTGATTTGGTCTGGGTGTTTCTTTTTTCTCGCCATTTTTCATATTTGCCATTTCATGTGATACTTTCACCCGTTGGCTTCCGTGGTCTCTATCTCATTTATGTGTATCGTATCAAAAGTATTTAGCGTGCATCTTATTGAGTTATATCTGGCTTGTTATCTTTATCTACAAATGTCTGATGTTAATTGACGACATGATAGCGTAGTGGTTTGTGTAACGGACTGCTATTAAAAAGGTCGCGGGTTCGATTCCCGCTCAAGTCAAACATTTGTGTGCATGAACATTTGATGTTTGATTTGGTCTGGGTGTTTCTATGTATAATATGTATGTATTTACAAAAAAAAGTATCTATGTATTTATATCAGTTGTCTAGTACCCATAGTACAAGCTCTGCTTAGTTTGGGACTAGATAGCGTTGTGTGTATGTGGTAGAATATATTATATTATTATTTTATTATATTAATTACATTTATTGATATTAGTACAAATTTATACGTCCTTGTATAACATAGAATATATGCTCATTAAAGTATATACATTTGTAGAAAAGTATAATTCACAAAATATTTTTGGTAAATTTTAGTTTTGGTTTTATATCTAATAGTTAAATTATAGTATATTGATTTGTATTTTTTAAACCATCGTGTCATTGATCCAATCATCTTTCAATTTCGCATACACATAAAATATTTCCAAGAGCCAAGAAAAAATAAGGTTTTCACTGTCATATTCGCTGCAAAACTAGTTATATATTCGCGTAAACAAGTATTGATTTTGTAATTACAATATTTAGTCCAATAAATAAAAAAAGGTTTCAAACCTTCACGAAAAAAGGGGACCTCCCACTTCGAAGGCCGACAACGTATTTGTGACTCCTTAGTTGCTCCTAGTAGAACTTATAAATAAACAAAACCCACTACCAAAAATTACGCTAACATTAGAATTTCATTAATTTACTGATAGTCACGTTAGTCGCCATGTTAAAGAAACTATATCCTCGTAAACCCGTAAAACCGGTCAGGAAATGTTGGTATTAATTTGTTTTTGAAATCTTACTACCATCGAGTTAAGACCATGTTCAGATTTTTTTATGATGACAGGGCAAACGGCCAGACACGTCACCTGATGGAAAGCGACTACTGCCGCCTATGGAAACATGCAATTTAAGCGACACAAGTGCGGCCAGAAGATTTGTTGTTAGTTATGATTTACGTAGAAGTTACTAAAAGGATTACTTCAAGATGGTCGATGATTACATTAACGCAGTGAAAGTTGTATGAACAGGGCCTCAATTCTGCTATTTTAAGATTGCGTCGATATACTGGTAAGGGAATGTCGTCGGAATAGTTTTGCACTTTTTGTAATGTGAGACCAATGGCCTCGCAATGACTTGTCAGTGATCTGCCACTGAGACAAATCGTCGATGTCTTTTTTATAGTTTGGTAAACCGTACATTTTAAATTTGTAAGAAAATAATATATTTTAATTTACCGCTTTTGACAATATGGTAAATATCACCATTGGTGAGCCATTGTCACTACATCCACAGTCTATTGACACTGGGAAGTTATGTTGGTGGAATACTGAAATATCAGTGAGATGACATTGAGATGACATTGTTATCGATCAAAATATGATCGATAACAATGTCATCTCAATGGCGTGTCAATGGAATGAAGGTAAAGGAAATTGCATTTATAAAAGCAGTTTTAACAGATATACAGAACAAGTTGGTAGGTTCTTAGATCATTGTCCCCGAATTGTAATTTGTATCAACAACTGTTTAAGTAATGTAAACAAATGCCCGGCGCATGCCTTGATTCCACACATCGCCTGCAAGCTTCGCGACAGCAGTCTTATCGCCCACATTAATTATAGGCTGCAAATGAGTAACACAGCTCCAGGCCCCTCCACGCAGCTCTTTCCCGCAGCTCTGGGAGAGCTACGAGAATCCCTGATGGTCAGGCTGATGAAGATAATGCCGATAAAAGAGGAAACATCGATCGTGAAACATTAAGAACTGTTGTAGTAAGGTTCCTTTGTACCCGAAAGTAGAGGTGCGTGTCGCTTCACCAAACCGAACCGGGGGTGTGAATCTTTATTTGTACCTAATTTTAATATGTGATAACAAATTGTTAAGTATTATAAAAAATAGATTTGACAAATCGCCGAATCTTATTTTTTTATAATACATATTTGATTTAATAATGCCTTCTTTTCAACACACACACGATAGTAAGCAGTGACTGCCTTTTTTACCATTTGTACCAAAAGGTAAAAATACACACACATCTGAACCTATAGGATTAAAAGACAAAATAATATATAAAGCTCCGTAAAGAGCGCAGTATAAATTTCGTCACTAAACATTTACCAAAACGGTTGGGTTATTATTGTATATACGAGTGTTTTAATAAAAGCTATTCAAGGATTCCTACTATTTTACACGCAGTGTGGCACACTGTTGTTTTTAGATCTGAGAATGTCTGTGATCAATATAATCTAATAGGGATTAAAAGATTTTTGAGGATTAATTGTTGTTTTGGAACTATCAGTTAGATTTGATATTTTTCAGGCTTAGTAACATTACATTACAACCCCAGAGAACGGAGCAATGATTTTAATTAAAGAATGATCAACTTATCAGTGAAGTGATGACCGACATAGAATAAAAAGTCTGTTTACAAACCTCACCGAATACGAACAGCTGACTAATAATATATATCGTAAGAATATCTAAATCAACATTTTTCAACCAGTAATTTCATTAAAACATTTGAAACTAAACACTTTTTATGAATGTTCAAAACACACCACAAAAATAAACAACAGTACTGTAGCACACACTAATACGAATGAGTATTTATTAATATTAGCGTCGCCTTGTATTGACCATTTGGCGTGTGTCCACAAAAACGGCGCTCTTGTTCCGTTACATCCAATCAATACCAATCACTCTTATTTATCGTAAATGCAGAAAGTTCAAAGGACAATAAGATGCTTTATGCACTCATATAAGTCATATTCGTTATACATATAAGTAATAAAGCCGGCCACAGAATCTCTCTCTTGTGAAATAAATAAATAATTAAATTTGAGGTGAGTGTAGGCACTTACTGAACCCGGGCACCGCTGCTTCGGGAAGTACCTGCACTCGTTCGCTATGAGCAAAACTGCAATTGCAGTGAGGACTCGGCTCAGCACACGCTGGCAATCTGCCCGCTTTGGGCGTCGCAGCGTCGGGTCCTCACTGCAGTCATCGGAGGAGATCTCTCGCTGCCGTCCGTCTTACGCTCAATGGCCGGGAGTGATAGTTGTATTACCGCGGTCGTGTCATGACGTCTTCGCAGAAGGAGGCGGCAAAGAAAAGAAAAAAAAAGACATTTATTGAACGGGTTGATTTGGACATTTAAAGATTTTATAATATTGACTTAAACTTAGCTCATTAAAAAAAAACATTGTAAAATTGAAATTAAACACTAAAAAGAAATTGCATGAAAATTATGTTGGGCAGATTTGAATCATTCTTTGCAGTTACATATAACATCAAGCCACAACCTATAGGAGAGGAACAGTAGAGTGGAGATAAATGTAGGCAAAACAGTGGGTAACCACAATTTATTTAGTAATATACAATATTTGGTAGAAGTTTGTTAGTAAAGGTCACTTTTATTAGAAAATCGAAATGACTACTGACTGGGTTCCTACATTCTAAAAAAGTAAAAAATATAACGTAGTTTTGCAAGTGCATAAAACCAATCTATAACTTTGACCAGGGCGACGGCACATCGAGGAACTACTTGCCACTCTCGGATTCCTCTTCTGAGGCTATATTCTTCTGAGAATCTTCCTTCATGGGAAAGGAAGATTCTCAAAAGACGGTTTGTGGCCGTTCAGAGTATATGATCTATACGTTTCCAATTCAATACACAAAGCATGCAATCAAGCATAAAGCAACACAGTCCATCGGCGGACTGGAGTGCTCTATGGGCATCGAGTCAAAAGGTTTTTAGTGGAAACTATCAACCTTCATACCATCTCGAAGAGACCAAATTATAGTAGCCACCTACTTAATGAAAACAAAGACTTATTTAGATACAACCACTAAGTAGGTTAAAATTGCCATATAAGATTCGACTTGACATTTCAAGCTACTCCTAATAAAAGCAATTTAGATATATTCTACAGCTGGACTCGTTCTCGAAGTGAGCCGTGCCAACATATAGAACGTGAACCACGCTGTTATGAATACTGTTTATGTTTAACAGATCTATCTACGCTGGCATGGTCTTGGCCCTCTGTTTATGGAACTCAGATTTCCATAAAGAGATTGCCAAGACACACAAGTTAAAAAAAAGCCGTGTGGTGTCGTGGGACACCCGATAGGAACGAAGTTGTGACGATCAAGTAAAACTGATTCGACACGATTTCAATTACAACGCCATCTATGAAAACGGCTATTACCTCCATATTTTCCAGTTGGTTTCCAATTAAAACAATTTATATTGGT